TCGCCCTCTCCGGATGCCATATTGAACATGTGGAATGATGTTGTTCGCCTCTACATAATACTCAATACGCATCTTTATCATGTTTTCATTAAGCTTTCCAACACAAGATGACAATGATATGGGACGATACGAATTAGTATCTTCAGGTGGCTTGTCAGGCTTAAGTAGAGGGATTACACACTGTGTTTTCCAAGATTCAGGAATTTTTTTTAAGTGCCAAAGAGCATTAAGATTAGCTAATAGTTTTTTTTGAACGGACTGATTTAGGTTTTTAATCAAAATGTATGGACAATCATCTAAACCAGGGGTTGTGTTTTGTCTGGATTGTAAACTTTTACAAAACTCACTCCAAGTAAAAGGTTCTATGAGGAAACTGGACTTCTGAAGGCTATTATTAATTTGAAAATAACTTTCTAGATTATCTATAACCCTACATCCATTTTGAGATAATTTTTCTAAGAGAGGGACAACAAATTCATCTTTATATGTTCTATTATTACATTTTATTCGTTTAAATAACTTGATGTATTTCCAAATAATATTAACAGGTGTAGTTCTGTTAAAAGTATTACAGATGTTCACCCAACCATTGCGTTTATGTTCTGAAATAATCTTTTTCTTAACAGCATTAAGTCTTTTGTAATTAATATAATTATCAATGGTTGGATCCCTTCTGTACAGTTTTAAAGCTTCATAAGTTTTAATAACACTCTGTTCACATATGTCGCTCCACCAAGGTGCTGGAGGTTTGCAACGATAATTATTTGCTTTGACAAACTTTGGTACAGTATCCCTCTTAAGTGTATCAAGTCTTTCGATAAATTCGTCATATGACTGTAATGGATTCTCATAAAGCAGTTATAGACAGCTCATTGTATTTCGTCCAGTTTGTCTTGTTGTATAAGAATTTTTCAATGGGAGGATTAATTTGGTATCTATCAACGGACAATAAAACACGAGTAAGCGTAGGAAAATGATAGCTACCCATACAATCATCATGCACCCACCATTCGCATAGTGGAGTGATTGGAGCACTACAAAAGCTGACATCAATAGCTGAAGGATTTCGGTTAGGATAATTAATAGTAGTGAAGCTTCCATTGTTAAGGACACACAGATCAAATTCATCAATTAAATCGTATAATTGATGACCCCGACTTTTCGTGGTCATACATCCAAATGCCACATGATGAGCGTTGAAATCTCCAGCCACGTATATTGGCTTAGGCAAATCTCTAATTATATTACGCAGTTTACTTATTCTGAAGTTACCATTCGAGGGAGGGCAGAATACACATAGAATCGTTAAGTGTTTACCACTTACATATAACGATAATGCTATAGTCTGAATATCTTGGTAAAATCTGGTTTGAATAATATTATATTTAAAATACGGTTTGATCAAAATTGCTACTCCACCATGCTCATTTTGAGCATTATGATAGTGGGAATTATATCCCGAAATTTTAAAATGCTGAGTATCTTTAAGCCAAGTTTCATTGAGTAGACATATATCAACATTTTGTTCAGCTAAAAATTTAGATAGTAAGGGTTTTTTTCCTATGTATACTTTGAATATTGTACTGAGCTATACATAACTGGTATGTTCTGTACTGTACTGTCCATTAATGTGACAGATTTTTTAAAAGTAAGTCTTTAATGAACAGAGTAGTCACAGGTTCATTATCTGTTTTATTACCCAATTCAACTAAAGTTTGAACCATTGCCATCAGAATATTCTTATTGTTTGCAATTTGAGCCTTTAGTTGAGTTTGGTTCAAGTTGGGTTCAGGCACTGTTTTATTTACAATTTTTACATTTTTATTTAATTTATGTACATTTTGGCTTATTGATGGTAGGCTCTTAACAATGCTGTTCGACTGTGCCGGTAAAGACGGAAAATCAGATGACGTAATTGTATTTGCAACAGAGGCATAAGTAATTTTACCCTTTTTTTCAAGTATTTTTTTCATTTTTATTGGGCAAGATTTGGAAATAGCCAGGTGAGGGCCACTGCAATTGACACAACACAGGTTCTCTTTGTTATCGCAGTCTCTGAAATTATGCTCCCCAGCACATATCGAGCAACGTTGTTTACCGTTACAAATTTTCGCAGGATGGTTGAACCTGAAGCACCGGAAGCATTGCTGTAACGGCGGGACATATTCAAACACCCTGAACGAAAATAGGTCATATTGGACGTTATCGGGCAGAATATTTGACAAGAAAGTTATACTGACAGTCTCGAGACCTACAGTACTTTGACCGACTTTTTTTCGTGAATCTTCTCACTGAAATAATTTCATAGATCGAAGACAGTTTCGTATATAAATCCTTGTTCGAAATGCTGGTAGGCACATATCTGATGATTCCAGTTTTTTCTATCTGCGCTGCAGGAATATGTGCCTTCAAGTTGTGCTTTGTTAAAAAGTCTGTATTTGTGATGAAATAATTTGCAGTGTTGTATTGTTTAAAGACAACCGCAATTTTATTAGCATTGACTCTATGTAAAGCTACCACACCTTTCACCTCCGAAGTAAAAATATGATTTAAGTAAACTGGGCTTTTATTTCCAATTTTAACCTGTTGGTCCCGGCTTTCAACAAAAACTTTGAAGTCCGTATTTGTACAATGTTCAGGATAAAGTCTCAGATAACCTGGCTTAAAAAACGGAATAAAGTCATACTCACCGCCGCCTACTTCAGGTCCACATTCCTTCGTACCTCTTTTACGAACAATTTTGGATCGTTTCGAAGTTCCACCTGGGTCCTCCGGTTCATTCATTTTGATAATTCACACAATGTACAATTATTTACACTGACTAAAATAAGTTTTGGTAATATTCACACAGGATATTTTTAACGAAAAACAGTAAAAATTATTAAATCGACCGCCTCGTTTGGAGTTCCCGCCAAAAAAAAAAACGTTTCTCTATTCATAGGGTGGTTTGGAGAAAAGAAGTAGACATCCGCCATTTTGCTTATTTAATTTGTTTGTTTTGAAGTAGAGTTTTAAGTTGTTTTGTGCAATTTAGTTTTAAGTAATATAATGAATGATAATTTGCTATTAAAAACTCTGATTGGTAAGTTTTAATATGAATACTTTACAAACATATATTTAATTAGGTAGATTCCCCGGTTATGTTTGGATATAGCTTTACTTTTTTTGGAGACCATTCTGTGCCAGGGCTGCCAGGTGCAAAAATGGTGTGATCGTACGACAACTAAAAAAAATCGTATGCCAAGGAAATTTAAAAATGAAAAGATCGTACAACTTTTAAGTACAAAGCTTTTATTAAAATAACAAATAATCGTTTAGTTTTAGAAAAGAAATGCAATAAAAGAAATAAAGAAAGAAACATATTTATTTGGCAGATGCCTTATACCTACACAACAAAACAAAAAAAAGATTAAAATAAAAACTTAAAACTACACAATTAAAAAAACTATTTATTAGAATTATACAAATTTTCTGTGGTCATATTGTTTAAAATTTCTTTTGTTGGCTTAAACTTCGTACAATTTTCGTTTCTTCTTACTAATTGTTTGGCTAATAATGTTCCCTTTAGTGTTTCATTCGATAAACTGTTTCTAAGTTTTGTTTTTATTAAGTTTATTTCCCTGAATGCTCTTTCACAATCTGCACTAGAATGGGGCAAACATAACAAATTTAAGGCAAATTGAGCCAGTGTTTTATAATTCTCAAATTGTTTTTTTGATGATGCCTCAAAACTTGTCGGTATTCATAGATAAATCAATTTTATCTGAAATGTTGGGAAAACTGCGCCATTCGTCATCTATTGCCTGCATCATTTAAATGTCGTCGGGTTTTACGATTCTTGGAACAAGTATCATAAGCGGCTGTAAGGTAGGTACTTTATTCCTGTAATTACTAGCAACAGCATTGGTAGGTTCAATACAGTCTATTTTTGATAGAATGGGATCATCTAGGTCATATCTTTTTTTTAATTTCTTTAGCGCTTGTGACTAGAAAATGCCGACAGCGTTGAAAAAACTCCTTAGTGGCAGGAATCTGACGACGAAATTCAGGCTGTGTATAGGCTGTGTGTAATTTTGTTCATGACTCGGATTCCCAAATAAATTTGATCATCTTTTAACCATTTTTCTTGTCGGTCAATATCAATGGTAGAAAGCTCAGTTTTGCTGACATAATCACGATCCAAAATACATAGCAAAATATCTTTATACATTTCGCGCACCTTTGCGTTTAAACATGTAATCACTACTTTTTCCGATTGAAAAAGTTTATTGAAATTGGTAAATTTGGGCAATATACAAGACAGGAACAGGTAATAAAGCTGCATGAATGGATCATTTAAGCTATTAAATATCAGTTCTGTTGAAACAAGACGTTCATTCAACCAGCAGTCAGTAAAGAACAATTTTAATGCATCCCATTGTTCTAATAATCGATCTACAACCACCATCAATGACAACCAACGGGTTTGTGAAGGATGCAAAATCTTGTGAGGTGAAACACTCACAAATTCTTGAAACTGTTGAAGGCAAAATTGTCTTTTTGAACTATTTTTGAAAAAACTATATATATCTCTCGCTAAATCTTCGCAGCGCCTTGGTAATTGTTTGCACGATTCAGATGCGCAAAGGTGTGCAAAGTGGCAAACACATTTCATTACAAACATACCTGGCAAATTTTTCTTGAGTCTGCTCGCCACAGAGTTATTCCCAAACATCATCACGTTGCAACCATCTGCACCAAAACCAATCATATTTTTTGTCGATATATCCCGGTCAGAAAAAGACTTCATCAGTATGTTAAACAAATTTTCCCCAGTAGCACCTTCTTCTGCTGTTTTTTCATCATCAGAGCTAAATATTTTGCAAAGATCCCAAAACTTCTCACAATTTTATTTTTCTCAACGTCATAATATCTAACAATTATACAACTGGCCTTGTGAGTGCTGACATCTGTTGACTCGTCAGACATAACACTGAATTTCTCAGTTTTCAGTTTTTCGGCTAGAGACGATTTTTCACTTTCACCAATACCTCGGTGATTACAGCTGTAGCTTTTGTTCTTTTCATAGCAATTTTATGTTCCACTCCAAAATCTTCCAATATACCATTTATTAAATCTGACATATGATCTGCAGTTTGGAATGCAATATTATGCTCAGCTAGGAAACCCGCCAGCTTGATTTCAGTTGCTGTGACAACATTATTTTTCAACATAACTCCTTTCGTAACAAATGCGGACATGATATTACGCTGTTTTGTTTTGCTTGGTATTGCAGACACGGCTTTCGTATGCTTTTGCCTAGAAGAAAGTAATTTTAAAACTCCATATTTTGAAACCATTTCGAAGTCACAAACAGTGCACCTGGCTTTAAATTGGTTTTTACCAGGCCCTAACCAGTGCTTAAAAAGTCTAGTTTTTCCCAATCAGGACGATACTTCCGTGCTCTGTATTTTTCCCTCTCTGCTACTGAAAGCTTTCCTCTTTTACCCAATTTCTTTTTTGGAGTACCTGGCGCAAGTCGCTCTTCTTCACCTTTGTCACACATTCTTGCTTTACCAAAAACCACAAACACAAAAAAGCACTGAAGACAGTATACAGATTCAAAGAGCATATATAAACTACGTACAGTTCGAGCGAGACTAACAAGAAAAAAGAGTTTTTAAGAAATCGCAATTATTACCGAAAGAAAAAAATAATAAGTTTCGAAAAAATGCAAACAAATACAGCCTTTAAATGACTCTACAAAGAGTCTTCATTCAAGTAAAAGATCTACGTACGCGTTAGGTTGTTGGGGAATTCCCCGAAACTCATACTTGCCGGTTGAGAACGTTCAATTCATTATGAAATGTTGCCAGATTTGCCAGGTATATAAAAATCGTACATTTTCCGTAGGATCTTGGTCTAGATAGTACATGAGTAAAAATGCCAAAAAATCGTAGGAGTACGATTAAAATCGTACATCTGGCAGCCCTGGTCTGTGCAAATAACTATGCCATAGAGTAGAGTAATATATACAGAAAATACGTGTAGACTTTATCTATGGTGTAGACAGAGAAACCTATAGACAAATTGACGCCTTCTTTCGCATTCGCAAAACAATGAGACAGTGCGGTGTGATTGTTTGTCCTTTTCTCCGTGCCGGTTTTTTTGTTTAGCTGACTACACTTTGCTATACAACTTTGACAGTTCGTAGCGATCTAAGGAGTTTACAAGTTAGTTTAAGTGAGAAAAAAGTGTTTTGTGAGCTTAAGATTGGTGAATCTTGTCCAGTTCAGTTCTTAAAACAATTAAATTTTTTATCTAAATGTGTATAAAAGTCATAAAGATTATTGAATAACCTAAAACTACGTTATCGTTCTTTCTCACTCGAGGCCACGCTAATCATTAGTCTATTGGTTTCTCTCTCTACTAAAATACGTTAGTACTCTTATTATAGTCCGTTCGCGTTAAGAAAATAGTGAGTCATCAGTGCTGGGTAATGGTGTATTCACAGTGGAGTAAAAATTCTTTTTTTTTTTCAAACATTTAATTAAGTTTAATGGAAACAAATTTTCTTAAAATTACTTAAATCACTAATCAGTATCGCTAGATTCTCCAGTTACATTAATTATGAAAGATTTTTTTTCTGCAAGTTCCATGATGTCATCCAAATTCTTCTTCCAAAGATTAGCGTCTATTAATGCTATTGCGTCATCTAATATTTTTTTATGTCACTCATTTTTAACGTGGAGTTATAGGCACCAACATAATTTTTTATTTGGGCCCAAACCAATTCAATTGGATTAAGTTTGCAATGGTAAGGCGGTAGGCGAACAATCGTAATGCCATTACTTTTGGCATTACGATTCTTCGCCTACCGCCGTGCGTGGAGCAGAAGTGCGGTGGTCTTGTTCTTTAAGAAAGGCGACAACGCGCTCTTGAAGAACTACAGACCGATTTCCCTTCTGAGCCGCGTCTACGTGCTGTTTTCGAGAGTCATTAACGAATCGTTTCGCACGCAGACTCGACGACTTCCAGCCTCCCGAACAAGCCGGTTTCCGAAAAGGCTTCAGTACCATAGACCACATACCATAGACCACGACAACGTCGTTAAAAGGCCATTTGAAGTCTGTCCATGCCACTGAATATGAAGAATTAATAAAGTTAGAAACTGAAAAAAAATACTGTACAGCCTTCGACTTCGACGCCCCTTCAGGATGCTAAAAGACCGAACCAAGTTCGAATGTGCCTTTATTGAGTCTGACAGCGCATGGCATAAATAGAGATTTTAAAAGTGTTATTTTAAAATGTGTATGTCTTCCATCAAATGTCACACATTTGATGGAAGACAGGCGTCGAAGTCGAAGGCTGTACAGTATTTTTTTTTCAGTTTCTAATTTTATTAATTCTTCATATTCAGTGGCATGGACAGACTTCAAATGGCCTTTTAACGACGTTGTCGTACCTCCCTTTCTTGAATACGTCTTCATACACAGTTTACACTTTGCCGAATCTGAATTAACTTCAATGAATTAGTTCCAAATACAACTTGATTTAGGTTTCATTGTCCAACACAAAAACAGATCACTTTTATTGATAATAAGCCGCAAAAATCAAAAGAAATATCCATAACCTATGAACGTGTCGTGTGCGTAACAAATTAACAACAAGTGAAAAAATAATTGACGATAGATTACACGTAATGGGAATCGGGGGGATTTCCCGCGCGACATGTATGAACCTGTTCATAGCAGTCGACACAGGCCGCCGCCGCCGCTGTTATACTTCGAACTCCGTAAAACCTTCGACTTAAAAGTGTTGGAGCCGAAGTCGGAACCGAAGGTGTAATAATAATCTGAAGTTCCGACTTAACGGAACTGGAGTCGAAGCTCCGTAACTTCTCTGGAATAGATATATCTTCGTTGTCCACCGAAATGATTTTTGAAACTTGTGCTACTGAAATTTCTCGAATAAACAGTTAATTATTAACCTCTACTGGCCTAATAGCAAAAGGGAAATCGAAGTATTCTATTCATGTCTAGGAAATCTCTTGAATCTCATCTCAAAAAAAAAATTATTCTAAGAATATTATCATAGGCGGGCACTTTAACGTAGACTACCTAACAAGTAATAGCGAAAAAATAGGCTCTCTAATTTAATGTTATCGTATAACTTCCACCAAAAGATTAAACAACTCACCAGAATTACACCAAACAGCTCTACATGCATTGATCTAATTTTTATTAATATTAAATTAAAGAATATGAAAATAGCTGTTCATGAATTTGGTTTTTCAGATCATTATAGCTTATTAATTTCTATACCGTCTCCAACACAAAACGTGAAGCAATTTTTATTATATAAACGAATATACAATAACTTAAATATAACTAAATTAAAAAATAAAAACAACCGCGTTCACGCATACACATCCACATTCACTGCACCGTGCCAGTTCTTTTCGGACTACAAAAGCGTACGGACGATTTAATTTAGTCATACATCATCTTCTCTTTTTTCTCAACGCTTTCTAATAAATTTCTTGTTTTGGACGTCTAAATAGTGATATGTTGCCACAGCAATATTTTTTATAGGACGGGGTATCTAACTAGCACACAGTCCACCTGATGGTAAGTTGTTGCTGCGGCCCGTATACATCTACATCTATTCTCGATTACAAATCAAAATGCAGATGCGTTGTCACTCCTGAGGACTAAGATGAAATGCCTCGTTTCCAGTAAAACGGGTCTCCGGTTCTCTCGAAGTAGTAGTAGTATAATTACGCTACTATTTTACGCTAGTATTCTGTGAGAGCGTGGTCCTTCCCAGTCGAGCCGACCCATTCGTGCTACAACTATACTACTAATATAACTGCAGCATGGCTCTACCACGTATAGAATATATAATAATAATATAATAAATATAATCTAATATAAATTGGGATGACATACTCAAATCTAATAAAAATGTAAATGAAAATTATAAAATATTTAGTGAAATCTTACAAAGAGCTTTAAATAAATGTATACCAAAAATCCAAGTTCGCAACTTTTAGCGTATGGAATTTTATACCTTGGAATAGTTATTTCGTAACCTTTGACGGCAGAACATCGTTCATAAAAACTAGCTCATGAAGAACCATGTTTGTGAATGATATATCGGTGTTTGAAAGAATTGATGCATCGTTTACATCCCTAGTCGCGCATCGAATAAGTGCCCTAACACCCTTAGTATTATTACACTGCACGGTGGAAAGGCACTGCAGGCCGGGTACACTTTGTCGTCCTAATTAAGGACCCTTATTCCCTTTCTCTTATTATACCACCCTGAATCAGGGCACAGGGAGCCTGATTCAGGGTAGTGTAATAGGGGTATAAAGCCTATGACAGAGTCTGTTAATAGAACTCTATTGGATAAACTATATCAAACAGGAATTAGGGGAATAGCTCATAATTGGTTCAAATCCTATCTTCATAACCGCTTCCAATATGTAGAAATTGAAAATACCGACTTCGAGACAGTCATTACTGGTTCTATTCCTCAAGGTAGCGTTTTGGGTTGTATTTTGTTTCTTGTTTACATAAATGAATTCGTTACCGCGTTTTAAAAATCCAGTAATGACATCTAGCGGAATCAATTTAAACTATGTATACGTTAGTTAATAAGAACTCTGAAAAAATATTTTTCTTATAATTTTGCACAATTTTTCTTATTGTAATACCGATTCATTCATAACCACATATAAGAACTGTATTCATTTCCGTTCAATAAATATTACTAAGGCTTATTAATAAGGCTTACTAAGAACTGTTTCTACCACAGTTAAGTAATAGTTAAGGGTGAAAGCGTGACAGGTGGTGATAGTATTTCTGATCCATACTTATAATCACGCCTGTAACCCTTGCGGGGTAGGCGGAGCATCAACGGATTACTTAATATCGTCTGCGAGGTTATCGCCTATTCTGTGAATTACAATGCACCAAAACGTTTGAAGAAAATCAACAGGTGAATTTAATGTTTTTTTATCGCTCTCTTCCCGGTCCTGCGTGGAAAAATACAGATCCATACATTTTTTATCTAAATTTTGTTAAAAAGACATAATAATCCAGATATTCTGACCTTCTGTGTTCGTCCATCGTACCGTCGTCCGTCTTGTAGAATCACGGTAGCGCCACCTAGCTGAATTTAATTTTGCAACATATTCGATTTTCCCACGGGAATGATATGTTTTTCCGCTGAAAAAAGTAGCCTATGTCACTCTACAGCCACCGAACTATCCCCATAACAAAATTCATGCCATGCCGACGTTCTGTTGCGACGTGAAAGAAGGACAAACTTTTGCAACATATTCTATTTTCCC